AGACCATCCTGGCCAACATGGTGAAAGTTTGTCTCTACTAAAAATACAAAAATTAGCCGGTTGTGGTGGCACATACCTGTAATCCCAGATTTTTGGAGGCTTAGTTAGGCACAAGAATTGTTTGAACCTGGGAGGCAGACGTTACAGTGAGCTGAGATCACGCTCTTGCACTCTAGCCTGGGCCATAGAGGAAGACCATGTCTCAAAAAAAAAAAAAAAAGGAAAAGGAAGAAAAGTAAGCTATTGTTTTTTTCCTCCATTTTTCCACCCCCAATTCTCACACTTAATTTATGTATGCTTCCCTTACAGGTTATATTTCTTGAAAAGACAAAAATACTACTTTGTAACTAAATTGTATCTTTCAGGGAGGTACTTCTCCCATCCAAGTACTAACCAGGCCAGACCCTGCCTAGCTTCTGCCATCAGAGGAGATTGGGCGCATTCAGGGTGGTATGGCTGTAGACACAGGGAGGTACTTAGGAAGTTCAGTTTTTCCTACCTGTATTAGAAGATGCCATTTTCTTCACCACAATGTTTTCTGGTTCCATAGGATAACATTGGCTTTTGGAAAACTCACCACGCATAAATCTCTCGAGAGAATTTGTAGTTGGTTTGGGTTTGGATTTGTTTGTTTGTTTGTTTTTTTGAGATGGAGCCTCGCTGTGTGGCCCAGGCTGGAATGCAGTGGGGTGATCTCAGCTCACTGGAACTTCTGCTTCCTGGGTTCAAGTGATTCTCCTGCCTCAGTCTCCCAAATAGCTGGGATTACAGGCTTCCTCCACTATGCCTGGTTCATTTTTTGCATTTTCAGTAGAGATGGGGTTTCATCATGTTGGCCAGGCTGGTTTTGAACTCCTGACCTCAGGTAACCTGCCTGCCTCAGCCTCCCAATGTGCTGGGATTACAGGCGTGAGCCACTGCACTTAGCCTGTTTTTGTTTGTTTGTTTGTTTTAAGAGGCAGAGTCTCATTCTCGTTGCCCAAGCTGGAGGGCAGTGGTGCGATCATGGCTTACTGCTACCTCAACTTCCTGGGCTCAAGCAATCCTCCTGGCTTAGCCTCTCAAGTAGCTGGGACCACAAGCACATGCCACCATGTCCAACTTTGTTATTAAATTTTTCATAGAGATGGAGTCTCACTATGTTGCCCAGGCTATTCTGGAACTTCTGGGTTCAAGTGATCCTCCCGCCTTGGCCTCAAAATGCTGGGATTAAAGGATTGAGCCACTGTGCCTACCTAGTGAGTCAGTTTTTGCAGATCTCTTGTTTCTAGCTGTTAAGTGTGGATCAGGTAGATGTTGAAGCTCTTTGGAAGACCTGGTCAGGATCTGCTTATCAATCACTTATATCAACATCATATTTACTGCATGAGGAATGCTGTACTCTTCTTTCATCCTGTGGCTTCCTGTGCTTGTGCATTTCAAGAGTATGCCACACCAGTGTATCGGTCTCTTCTACTCCACAGTCCACTGCTTTTGGGTAGAAGAAACTTCTTTTCTCTCATACAGGTAGAGCAGATGAAATTACTGTGATTAAATTTTAAATCTTTATTTGTTCTCTGAAGATTAATGAGCCAGAAAGTGAAGCAGTCATTTCAGATAGTTATTTTTCAAGTATAAAATAGTGTCATTCTCTTAAAGGACTGTTTTTTTTTGTTTTTTGTTTTTTTTTTGCTTGTTTCTGAACCCAGGTAATTGACTGGTCTAACCATAACGTTTGTGATAAATTAAGCCAAATTTAAGTATCATTTTGCAGATTTATACATAAGATATTTTTAACTGGATGGATAATGCTGTAAGAACTTGTTGAACCACATTGTTTAAGTTTTGACTGTTTTTGGTTAAATTTTGTTACTAATGCATATGTTTGAAAGAAAATTCAAATCAGTCAAGGATACCCTTATCGAAGCAGTAAAATTCTATAAGCCGAATTGACCATGATTTCTACCACAGGTGCTGACTTTCAGTTATGGTAATCTATAGATTAATCTTCAGAGTTATATTAATTATACAGATTACAGAACTGCTGTAATCTGGGTGACAGTCACTTCAAAAGTTTACATAAAATTGGATAAGTTAGTTATAAATGTTCAAGATTCAGTCTGTCCTCTAACATGCTTATAGAATTTATGGCTTATCTGTACTTAGAAATGTTAATTGCATAGGACCAAAATGTTTCAAATAGGACTAAGATTATTAGAATTTCATTCTTTGAAGTGTACACTGCGTACAAACAATTTTTGAAGCCGTAAGTCAGCTCTTGATGTAATTTTACTTTTATTTTTTATTTTATTTTATTATTTTTTTGAGATGGAGTCTCGCTCTGTCACCAGGCTGGGGTGCAGTGGTGCGATCTTGGCTCACTGGCAACATTTGCCTCCCAGGTTCAGGCGATTCCCCTGCCTCAGCCTCCCGAGTGTCTGGGACTACAGGCGCATGCCACCATGCCCAGCTAATTTTTGTGTTTTTAGTAGAGATGGGGTTTCACCATGTTGGCCAGGATGGTCTCGATCTCTTGATCTAATGATCTGTCCACCTCAGCCTCCCAAAGTGCTGGGATTACAGGTGTGAGCCACTGCGCCCGGCCAATAATTTTACCTTTTGTAAAAGGTAATCTCTCTTCCCAATTCAGAAAAACCTTTAGTCCTGCAAGCTGTAGCTAACTTTCTGTCTTTTAAGTTCTTCCAGACATGCGCGGTGGCTCATGCCTATAATGCCAGCACTTTGGGAGGCCGGAGAGTCGCTGCTTGAACTCAAGAGGCAGAGGTTGCAGTGAGCCGAGATTGCACCACTGCACGCTAGCCTGGGCGACAGAGCGAGACTCCGTCTCAAAAAAAAGAAAATTCTTCCACCATGCTGTAGTTCTCAGTTTGATGTAGCTCTCTGCTCTGTGCTTTCTTGCATATGAACGTTGTATTTCCCAGTGTTTATACTATTGAAAATACTACCTGGGGCGGGGTGGTCTCTGTAGAAGACAAGACACAAAAGCTTATGCGTTATTATATCTTAAAAGATTTAAATTCAGCTTTTAAAGCTCTTGACATTTTATTTCTTCTCTTTCAAAAAAAACGTAGTCCTTGAAAGAAAATCTTGCAAGGTGTTGGACACTTACTGAAGCAGAGAAGATGTCCTTTGAAACTCAGAAAACGAACCTTGCTTCAGAAAATCAGTATTTAAGAATATCTCTGGAGAAGGAAGAAAAGGCCTTATCCTCATTACAGGAAGAGTTAAACAAACTAAGAGAACAGATTAGAATATTGGAAGATAAAGGGACAAGTACTGAATTAGTTAGAGAAAATCAGAAACTTAAGCAGCATTTGGAAGAGGAAAAGCAGAAAAAACACAGCTTTCTTAGTCAAAGAGAGACTCTGTTGGCAGAAGCAAAGATGCTAAAGAGGGAACTGGAGAGAGAACGACTATTAACTACGGCTTTAAGGGGGGAACTCCAGCAGTTAAGTGGTAGTCAGTTACATGGCAAGTCAGATTCTCCCAATGTATACACTGAAAAAAAGGAAATAGCAGTCTTACGGGAAAGACTCACTGAGCTGGAACGGAAGCTAACCTTCGAACAGCAGCGTTCTGATTTGTGGGAAAGATTGTATGTTGAGGCGAAAGATCAAAGTGGAAAACAAGAAACGGATGGAAAAAAGAAAGGGGGCAGAGGAAACCACAGGGCTAAAAATAAGTCAAAGGAAACATTTTTGGGTTCAGTTAAGGAAACATTTGATGCCATGAAGAATTCTACCAAGGAGTTTGTGAGGCATCACAAAGAGAAAATTAAGCAGGCTAAAGAAGCTGTGAAGGAAAATCTGAAAAAATTCTCAGACTCAGTTAAATCCACTTTCAGACATTTTAAAGATACCACCAAGAATATCTTTGATGAAAAGGGTAATAAAAGATTTGGTGCTACAAAAGAAGCAGCTGAAAAAGCAAGAACAGTTTTTAGTGACTATTTACATCCACAGTATAAGGCACCTACAGAAAACCATCATAATAGAGGCCCTACTATGCAAAATGATGGAAGGAAAGAAAAGCCAGTTCACTTTAAAGAATTCAGGAAAAATACAAATTCAAAGAAATGCAGTCCTGGGCATGATTGTAGAGACAATTCTCATTCTTTCAGAAAGGCTTGTTCTGGTGTATTTGATTGTGCTCAACAAGAGTCCATGAGCCTTTTTAACACAGTGGTGAATCCTATAAGGATGGATGAATTTAGACAGATAATTCAAAGGTACATGTTAAAGGAACTGGATACTTTCTGTCACTGGAACGAACTTGATCAGTTCATCAATAAGTTTTTCCTAAATGGTGTCTTTATACATGATCAGAAGCTCTTCACTGACTTTGTTAATGATGTTAAAGATTATCTTAGAAACATGAAGGAATATCAAGTAGATAATGATGGAGTATTTGAGAAGTTGGATGAATATATATATAGACACTTCTTTGGTCACACTTATTCCCCTCCATATGGACCCAGGTCGGTTTACATAAAACCATGTCATTACAGTAGTTTGTAACATTTGTAGATCGGATAGCATTTTTATGATTTGATGAGTTTCTTGGAAGGTTACTGTTTCTAAGAGTTGTGCTTTATTGCCACTGAGAGAATTCAGAATAAATTGAAAGGTGGAGTCTAAAAATTATTAGCTGTTACAAATGGAACATTTCATTATAATGAAATCACTTTGATTTGAGCAAATGGTTTAATTTTTATCCTAAAAATCAGTTAAGAATATATAAAATCCTATTTTGGCCAACTTTGTTTCTTTTCAGTATAGTTTATAATGAAAAGATCACCTTAAGTGAAATTATTTTCCTTTAATCTTTTATGTATTTATTCACTTTCGGAAGCTAGGAGTGAGCAACACAAATTTTACTCTGAAGTCAGAAGAGCTCATATATAATAATTTGAATGCCCCACCTGTTTTCACTTGTCCATTCCACATAGCAGCTTAGTTATGATACTTAATACTTAATCACATAATTATCTTTGATAAAGGTAGAGGCACAATCAAAGAGGCAACTGAGCAAGTCAAATTCTAATGTGTGTACCTCATAATAATTTTTTATCCATTTCCATCTTTATATTCTGTAACATGAAACTTACCCAATCTTAAAATGTTAGCTTCACTTTTTACCTATGAAATACTTACCTTTCTGAATAAATATAATGTGTCTATAAAATAATGAGACTGATTCTGGTGTCTTTAGTCATTAAGCAGGTATCTAGTCCTATAATGAACAAAGGTGAGCCTTCCTTGAGGAGACAAGTGAAAAATTTTTGCTTCAAAGGAGCTCACAAGCTAAGTAAATAAATGAAATTAAGGTATGGGGGCATGGTGGCCTCAGGCTGTCTGGAGATGTTTGGAAAGGCTTCTTGAGTGAGGTGGCCTTTTAACTGAACTTAGTTTTTAAAGTAGCTTTTGGAGGAGAAATGAGAATTTGCTATACAGACAGGGAAGGGAATTTCACTTAAAAGGAAGGTTCTTTGGATGTGAAGATACACTACTTTAAGGAAGCAAGGTAGTGCTGGAGGATAAGAGATGCAGACCACGAAGGGACCCATTTTATGCTAAAGGTTTTGTCCTGTAGGACATGAAGAACCTCTGAAGAATTTTCAAGGTGGTGGGATAAGATTATATTGTATTTTAGATTACAGTAGTCCCCCCTTATCTTCAGGATATATGTTCCAAGACCCCCACTGGATGCTTGAAACCAAGGATAGAACATAATTCTATATATAATATGCATGAATTTCTTTTTCCTTCTTTACAGTCTCACACATAGGTTTGTTCTTACCATAGATCTTACCAATCTCAGCATACTTTTGTTTCTCTTATTGAGAACCTTCACCCTTTCACTTAAAGGAAGTGCTTTATAGCTTCTCTTTGGCATATCCAAATGCAAGCATCACTATTGTATTTTGGGGTCATTATTAAGTTACTTAATCATCCTTAATAATCCTTATCTTAGGGATACTTGAACACAAGCACTGTGGTACGATAACAGTGTATCTGATTAACAGACTGCTACTAGGTGATTAATGGGTGGGTAGCGTAGATACATGACAAAAGGATGATTCGCACCCCATGTGGGATGGAGCAGAACTGCATTATTTCATCACATTACTCAGAACAGGCATATAATTGAAAACTTATGAATTATTTCTTTTTTTAATTATTTGAGATGGAGTCTCGCTTTGTCAGCCAGGCTGGAGTGCAGTGACACGATCTCAGCTCACTGCAACCTCTGTCTCCTGGGTTCAGGTGATTCTCCTGCCTTAGCCTCCCGAGTAGCTGGGACTACAGGCGTGTGCCACCACACCTGGCTAATTTTCATATTTTTAGTAGAGACGGGGTTTCACCATGTTGGCCAGGCTGTTCTTGAACTCCTGACCTCAAGTGATCTGCACATCTCCGCCTCCCAAAGTGCTGGGATTACAGTCGTGAGCCACTGCGCCCTGCCTAAAACTTACGAATTATTTCTGAAATTTTCTATTTAACATTTTCAGACCACAGTTGACCACAGGTAGCCAAAACCTCAATCACAGAAAGTAAGCCGTGGATAAGGTGGGACTAGTGTATAGGCAGCAGCCTAGAAGATTGATGGGAAAGGTGTGATGCTAGAAGGTGGTCAGCACAATACAGACATGAGCTGATGAGCATCTAAACTGGGACAGTAGTAGTAGGAGAGGAAAGGAGAAAACATTTGGAAAACAGTAACATTGACATTTCTTGTGAAGGAGGAGAAAGTAACTGACTTCTAGATTTCTGGGTTGGGTCATCTGTTGGATAGTAGTACCATTGAGATAGGGAATTCAAGGTTTGGGGCAAGGGTAATTGGAGATGAGAATTGTGTTTGGAGGTAACTACTAACATTCAAGTGGAGAGGGTTAGTTGGCAGTTCTATGGTCATCTCTTGCCGAGACTGTATATCAGACTCCTGGGAGAAGACCAACATCTACGGGGTTGTAGGGAAGCCTAAGGACAAGAGTGGGGAGTGGTATCATGAAAATCCAAAGGCCATCTCAAGTAAAAGGAATAAATGTGTCATGCTTTTTAAAAAGTTGATGTGTGGAAAATGTTTTCCTGGCTTGGAAACTGGGCGGCCAGGGGATGGCAGTATGGACTTCCAGTGAAGTAGTGACGGAAGCCTGATCATAGACGTTGAGGAAAGCGGTGTAGGTGTTGTGAGCTTTTGCTGTAAGAGAAAAAGTTGAGACTTTTGTTTTGCTTGGTTTGTGAGAGATGTGTATGTATTTCTGCTCAGTGATAAAGCCAGCGGGGAGGGATTTTTATAGGAAAGGAGGAAAAATAATGGAAACACATCTCATTATTTTATTGTCACATTTCTTTTCTTTGTTATCTTTTGAGTGTTTCCCCTTTTTGCCAGTAGAGTTATTGTCTATTTTTTCTTTCTAGAGGACAAAAAAACTAATACAGACTCCTTTATTTTTATATGGATATACTAGGATTATAATTCAGATATTTAATATCTTTTTTCAGAGTGTTCAGATAATAGATTAATGGAGAAAACATTTAAAATTGTTTAAAATTTAAATACATTGAACTCTAACATAGATGAAAAATGTGTTTACTGCTTTCAGTCGACCTGATAAAAAGCAACGTATGGTAAATATTGAAAACTCCAGGCATCGAAAACAAGAACAGAAGCACCTTCAGCCACAGCCTTATAAAAGGGAAGGTAAATGGCATAAATATGGTCGCACTAATGGAAGACAAATGGCAAATCTTGAAATAGAATTGGGGCATTTACCTTTTGATCCTAAATACTGATTCACAATTGAGTTAAATTAGACGACTGTAAGAGAAACATATGCTTTGTACAATGTTTGGTATTGAAACTAATGAAATTATCAAGATGACAATGTCTTTTTTTGTTTCTAAGTATCAGTTTGATAACTTTGTATTATTACTCAGAAGCATTAGTTAAAAGCCTACTAACCTGCATTTTCCTGTAGTTTAGCTTCGCTGAATTTTTTTTGACACTGGAAATGTTCAACCGTAGTTTTATTAAGGAAGCCAGGCATGCAACAGATTTTGTGCATGAAAAGAGACTTCCTTTCAGTGTGAGAGCTTAAAGCAAGCTCAATCATACATGACAAAGTGTAATTAACACTGATGTTGGTGTTAAATTTGCAGCAGAGCTTGAGAAAAGTACATTGTGCTGGAATTTCATCATTAACATTTTATAATCTTACACTCACTTCTTGTCTTTTTGTGGGTTCAAGAGCCTGCTGACTTGTGAAGAATTTGCTGCCCTCTTAAGAGCTTGCTGACTTGTTTTCTTGTGAAATTTTTTGCACATCCGAATATTGTCGAAGAAACAATAAAACTACACCATGAGGAAAACTAAAGGTCTTTATTTAAAATCTGGCATTGTATTAACATGTGATTTTATACTATGTGGTATTTTATACATTTCCTCAGTAGTGATATTTGGTAAAGCAGTTCATCTAGTTTTTTTCTAAGTTCCATGAATCTTACCCAGTGTTCACTGAAGTATTTAAGCAGCATCTGAATATTTCCACCCAGCAATGTTAGTTTATCTCAGAAAGTTCAGAATTCATCTTCGTGTTGAATTTCCCTTTTAACTTCCGTTCATAGACATATACGTGACTTCCAATTCGACCCTCCGGCAAGTGAGTGTGGAAGAAAACAGCAGTTCTGTTATAATTGCTTGAAATTAGGAAAGCACTTATTTCCTAGAAGCAAATAAATGTTTAAGTAAATAAAGGCTACGTTTTGCTGAGTACTGTTTCAGTCAATTTTAGAATTGCCTATTCTAATTGTTCTCTACAACTTTTTGCTTAATAACAGAATTAACTTATAGGAAGTAAAATACCTTGATAGTTATAGAACTGGGGCTTATTTTGACTAGAGAAAAGACTAATTATGAAATGTGGGTTGCAACAGACCATAAAAAAAGGTTGTATTATCTGTTTATCTGAGGGTTTCCTAAACCTGGGATACAATTAAAATACTGAGATTTCCTCTTTTTCATGTTTACTTACCTCTTCCAAAATGCTGAAGGTGATCAAGTGAGTAGGCAGTGATGCGTCGTCATGAAACTCTCTATGTAACCAGTTTAAGGGATTTAGGTAAAATACATCTGCTTCATCAAGGTACTGACTTTTTCCAGTCAGGTCTGGGGGGCACTGGAGAAATCTCATGGGTAGTGGGCAGTGAACATGGCTATGAAAAGAAAAGTTACCATAAATAAATACAAGTAAAACATGAAAGTTTTCATTAATCTTAAGATAAGTCATTTATACTTAGCAAAATGTGAAATCTGAATCCATAAACAGTTGCAGTTAAGAAGCAAGCCTTTAACTTATTTCCTCAAAAATAAAAAACATGATTCTCATACCATGTACCTATGCATCAGCAGCAGTATAATCTACAAGCCCAAACTAGCTCATAGAACTCCATTTCAAGGAGAGAAGTAGGTCAGTAGGGGGACTCAACATTCTGTAGCATTGGTATTCTGTTCCAGAAGCATAAATGGTCTTCAGGACCAGGTAAGTTTACTTGTTAATAGTAAAGAAATTCTCCATAGGCGTACTTGATAAAGTAGGAAACTGGATTCTTTCTCTCTTCCCTTTCTGCTCTGATAGGGGATGGATCACATGCTTACATGGCAAGTTTTGGTTTTTTTGGAGACAGAGTTTCGCTCTCGTCACCCAGGCTAGAGTGCAATGGCGCAATCTCGGCTCACTGCAACCTCCACCTCCCAGGTTCAAGCAATTCTCCTGTCTCAGCCTCCTGAGTAGCTGGGATTACAGGTGCCCGCCACCACGCCTGGCTGATTTTTTGTATTTTTTAGGAGAGATGGGGTTTCACCATGTTGGCCAGGCCGGTCCTGAACTCCTGACCCTCAGGTGATCCACCGCCTCGGCTTCCCAAAGTGCTGGGATTACAGGTGTGAGCCACCGCACCCAGCCACATGGCAAGTTTGAAGTGTGTGTGTGTGTGTGTTTTTCTTATAGATTTATATAAGATTTAGAAGTAGAGAGCAACATATGTCCATTGATTAACATCCAAATAAGTAATGGTTTTATCGTGGCATAGAAAGACTAGAGTAGGTCGGGCTCAGTGGCTCATGCCTGTAACCCCAGAACTTTGGGAGGCCAAGGTAGGTGGATCACTGGAGGTCAGAAGTTCAAGACCAGCCTGGCCAACATGGTGAAACCCTGTGTCTACTCTAAGTACAAAAATTAGCTGGGCATGGTGGCATGTGCCTGTAGTTCCAGCTACTCAGGAGGCTGAGGCAGGACAATACTTGAACCCAGAAGACGGAGGTTTCAGTGAGCTGAGATCACACGTCACTGCACTCCAGTGGGCGACAGAGCAAGACTGTCTCAAAAAAAAAAAAAAAAAAAGTTTAGAGTATGAAAAAGATGGATTCATTTCTAATACCAGTTATGACTTTTTTTTTTTTTTTTTTTTGAGATGGAGTCTCGCTCTGTCGCCCAGACTGGAGTGCAGTGGCCGGATCTCCGCTCACTGCAAGCTCTGCCTCCCGGGTTCACGCCATTCTCCTGCCTCAGCCTCCCGAGTAGCTGGGACTACAGGCGCCCGCCACCTCGCCCGGCTAGTTTTTTGTATTTTTTAGTAGAGACGGGGTTTCACCATGTTAGCCAGGATGGTCTCGATCTCCCGACCTCGTGATCCGCCCGTCTCGGCCTCGCAAAGTGCAGGGATTACAGGCTTGAGCCACCGCGCCCGGCCCAGTTATGACAATTTAAGCCAGTTACTTAGGTCATGAAAAAAGCCATGTTTATAACTGCCTTAGGAAAAATTAAACCTCACTGATAACAAACATTTAAAATTTCCAGTTAGAAATGAAGTTAATAGTTATGCAGGAGGTTTATTTTATTTATGAAATGCATACAAAGTAAATGTACACAAGACCTAATAGTGATTTATTTATTGGAAATGAAGGTCTTGTTTCGAAGGGAAGCAGAAATTCCTCAGAAAAAGCTGCCGGCCTACTGTAGTCTTTCTTTGCCACAATAAAACCATTACTTGTTTGGATGTTAATCAATGGACATACGTTGCTCTTTACTTCTAAGTCTGATGCAAAATAGGCATCAGACTTTTTCCTCTGTTGTGTGCTTTGAAAAGGTGTGGAGAACTTGGTGAACTGTACAAAGCCTAAGACATCAGCTGACTACAAGTATGTATAAAGAACATCTTGGTACCTTTAGGATTCCTGTTCTCTGCAGTATTACCCCTAATGTGAGCACAGAGAATGAATGTCCCTGTTTTAGCCACGTCCACATATAGTAGGGAATCCTTACGTTGAAAGGATACCTGATGTCTTTCATTTAGCCTGTGGTTTTTGCTAGGATCTCAATTTCTAAACTGTATATTAATGACTGGCATTAATGATGAGTTAAGTAGGAGTATTCCAAGTGTTAAATTCTCCTAAAATGATAACCACAGTGATTAAATTAATTGAACGTGCATATGAGACATAACTCCAGATTGTTTAAAGCCAGACTGAGTTAAATAGTTACAGATTTTATTTATTTATTTATTTATTTATTTATTTATTTATTTATTTATTAGGCATAGTCTCGCTTTGTCGCCCAGGCTGGAGTGCAGTGGTACAACCTCAGCTCACTGCAACCTCCGCCTCCCGGATTCAAGCGATTCTCCTGCCTCAGTCTCCCGAGTAGCTAGGACTACAGGCATGCACGACAACACCTGGCTAATTTCTTTTGTATTTTAGTAGAGTCAGGGGTTCACCATGTAGCCCAGGCTAGTCTCAAACTCCTGAGCTCAGGCAATCTGCCCGCCTCAGCCTCACAAAGTGCTAGGATTACAGGCGTGAGCCACCACGCCCAGCCTGGTATATAATTTTCCATAGGAAATCTGGCTCCTTTGCCCCTGTACCATTATTGGGTAATTGGTAACTAATACAGCTTCCTGAAATACAAGCACAGGACCAAACGGATGTCCTTCTAAAGGCCATATATAGTTGAGGCAATTTTAGTTTATTTCCCAGAAACACTTAATTCAAGCATTAGAATATCATCTAGTTGCATTCCCTAATTTTTATAGGTGAGACAACTGATGTCCAAAGAGATTAAAAATCTAGTTTAAAGCTGGGCATGGTGGCTCACGCCTGTAATCCCAGCACTTTTGGGAGGCTGAGGTGGGCGGATCACCCAAGGTCAGGAGTTCGAGATCAGCCTGACCAACATGGAGAAACCCCGTCTCTACTAAAAATACAAAATTAGCTGGGCATGGTGGCACATGCCTGTAATCGCAGCTACTCAGGAGGCTGAGGCAGGAGAATAGCTTGAACCCAGGAGGCAGAGGTTGCAGTGAGCCAAGATTGTGCCATTGCACTCCAGCCTGGGCAACAAGAGTGAAACTCTGTCTAAAAAAAAAAAAAAAATTCTAGTTTAAGATGAGGGCAATAGTCCAGTAGTAGATCTGGACTAAAATCTTATGTTTTAAGTTTAATTCAGATTGTGTAAAGATGTATCACAGAGATCTGTAGTAAGGTAAGTAATATATAAGTTTCTTTACTAAGAAGACTATCAAATACCTACAAATTGTTTTATACTGATTTAAATCAGAATTAAGTGTAAGTAAATTGTTTTTAAAGAATAATAAAGTTTATTTAAAAGGTTTTCTTTGACACAGTTCAAGTGGTTTTTAAAATCCATCAGTGAATAAATATGAGTGGGAGTTTAAAATTTATCATTTGATCAATGACCAATTAATTCAAATCCAGGAATCTGAAAGGGAATTTTAAAGTAGTCAGTTTCAGTTTCTTAACAGCATATAGTGGAACATCTGTTATTACCTGTAATAAGGAGTAGAGTGGCAAGGCATCATTATAAATATTGAAGCTGAAGATTTATTGGGATTGTTGTAACAAACTTTTTGAATATGACTCATAACATCAAGAGTACCTCGTTGATGAACTAAACCAGTATAAAGGGCGAGGAACAAATTTGATAAAAACAGGAAACTCAGAGCTGGTTTCTTCCATGTTTTCAGGTGGGTTAGTGAGTATCCTATATGAAGATAGACATATTGAACCTTAACACTGACAATCTTTCGTTATGTTAACTGCAAATACATCTGTAATTTTTAATGGAAATAACATAAACTGTAATACTGTTACGACAAATAAGACATAAGCAGTAAGTCACATCTCTGACCATTTACTACTATTGTCATCTAGGTCTTGACTTTTTCTAGTAAAAGGTATTAAGGTATAGTAGGAAGATTATGGTCATGGAGTCTAGCAGGTCCAGATTTGAATTCCAGTTCTAGCACAAGTTGTTTTACTTTGCTGATCATTTGGATAATAGTACCTTTTTCAAGTGTTAGAAAAAAATGTCCAGTGCCTGCCCTGGTACATAGTGGTTGCTAAATAAATAGGACTTTCAATTATTCCATTTACCTACCTCTTTAATCTCCCAAGCACTAATAATTGGTATTTTAGTGTGTAATATGAGTTTCAATAATGTGTCCTCTTAGGAAAATAAGCCATTGGGCACCTGGGAGATTTTCCATAAGTATCTGAGTGCTATGTCTTACTTTTTTTTCCCACTACAGTCAGGGAACTTGAAGATGCTGAACAATTTTTCTTTTTTGATTTATGAAAGTGATTATTCTGTGGGGCAAAACAACAAAAAACCAAAGCAAAAACCAAGTTGAATGAATAGAAGGGTATAAAAGGATAAGTAAAAGTCTCTCTCCCCTCTGATAGTCCTTTTCTTCAGC